ATATATATATATATATATATATATATATATATATATATATATATATATATATATATAGTACAGATTTGTTTGAGAGTGGTTATTTGTGAATCTATGCTCAGAGTCATAGGATCAGGAAGAGGACCTTGCTGGGAAGTGATAAAGCTGTTGTTAAATCAGCTCAAAATGTAGAGCCCCGAGCATAGAAAGTCCCCAGACCAGCAGAGAGGGCACCAGCCTAGAGCAGGAGCCTGGGTGCCCTGTCCTGGTGATAATGGAGAATCCCTGATGGGCTGCTGGGAAGGACCCTTTGGCAGCATCCCCAAGCAAGTGAGATACCCAGAGAACTGTATGCAATGGTCGTGTTGTGGAGAAGAAAAAGCGTAAAGGAGGGAACTCTCATGATTTGCTCTGTCAGCAGCATAATCACCTCATGGTCTTTTCCTCGGGCCACTGCTGATTGGCCCCTGAGCCATGACCAGAACTGACCGCTTTTCCCGTAGGAACTGTGACCAGGAGCCAATGGTTTTGGATGTGCTTTTCAGGGGAATGGTTGGATCCATCAGTTGGGCTTGRTTTCCACAGCAGGATGTCACAATCTTTAGGGAGCATGGATCAGTGGAGCCATAGCAAGCTCATTGTCATTGTTACCTTGGGAGGTTTGAAGACCAAGGTTCCCTGTGCCACCACTTGCTTTTCTAACACAGGCTTTGCAAAAGTTAACATCATGCAAACCGTTTGGAATTTCAGAGGTTCGAGGCTTTTCTTTTCTTGAAGAAAATGGTATGTTTAAGAAGGGCCAGARTAATAAATGTGAATACCAAAATGTGCGCAGGATGAACCTGTGAGAGTGGCTCTGCAGCCTCAGGCTGGGAGTGTCAGCAGGCACCGGACTGTGCTCAGGACATGCTGGACGTCGGTGCCGGCCTGTGACATAGGTTAAATCCCCACAGGCTGGGACACCTGGAGGTGGGATCTGTTGCCTCTTTGCCCCACTCCTTGCTCCACCCCACCGCATACCGGAGCCAGATGGGCCTTTAGCTTTGCCTGCAGCAGGACTGTGGTCCACGGTGAAGACATACACATTTTAAAAATCCTAACATCTTCCTCAGAGGCAGAGATAAGGACATCCCTCTGCGGAAGCCTTAGAATGGGTCACACTAAGAGTCGTACTTTTTAAACACACTAAGTGCAACAGACTTTAAATTAAACAGATGCATCTGAACAGCACAATCTTCAGGGCCTAAGAAACGAAACGCCGCACATCACACTCCTCTTCAGTTCCCTTCAGTCTCCCTGCGGGAGAGCAGCAAGGAGGTGCTCATGGGCCTGCCGTTCTTCCTCCACCACTGACCGTCCGTCCGCAGGGATAGAGAGGCTGCTCAACACCAGACACACCCTGTGACCATGCAGGGCACAGAGGGTGTGCAGGAGGGTGACAGCTGCCATCAGACACCTCTGCCATGACTGTTTGGGAAGCAGACTCAGGCTGAGGACCCAGCACAGGAGAGGAGATGTGGCCCCAGCATTTGATCTGAGACCCCCTGGGGTGCTTTCTGGGAGGCTGGGTGGCCCTGACTAGTGGCTTGAAGGTTCAACTGGAGTTTGTGACTCTTTGAGAACAGAAAGGAAGCTGGAAGTTCTGTCCCCTCCCCGGACCCTTCTCAAGTCTGTCCAAAAGGGTGCTTCTAAGACCAGACCCTCAGGAAGGAGTCCTTCCAAGCCAGCCCCACCCTAAGCCACTGTGCACAGGCTCCCGCAGGAAGACAGAACTCTGGCGTTGGAGAGCAGAGGTGCTGCAATGCTCAGACCTGGCTGGGGCTGGGATGTGCTTCATGGTGGAGAGCTTGCCCAGCGAGGCCCTGGATGCGTCCCCAGCCATAGCACCACGAGAAACAACAATGTGTCTGACAGAGAGTCAGCCCAGCCTGGCTGCCGAGGAGCCAGAGTGCTAGGCAGGAGCAACTTGGCTGTGTGACCTTGGGCAGGGCACTCACCCTGGCTGGGCCCAGTCAGATGCATACGTACAGTTCAGCACTACACAAGTTCACCCTAAAAAAGTAACTCGCTGACAAGAACGAGTTAGATCAGACCATGCATCCTCAACAATGGAGAAGCT